CTCTCAGCCTCAGCATCAATTATTCCCTGGCAGACGTTGCCTCGTCAGGGAACTTCCACTGTTACCAGTAGTGTACAAGTCAGAGGTCCCCCCCACACACCCACACACCTACACACCCACACACCCACACACACACACACACAAACGTTTCATGTCATATCATGTGATTTTCAGTGCACCTCGCTCTGTCTCTCCTCTCAGTACATTATTACAAGTTGTGGCTGCTCGTGCGCGCCTCATTGTCTGTTCGCCGTCTCCCTCCTGTCGTCACTTCAAAAGGCAGCTAGTGCTCACTTTAGAGGCGGCAGCCCTGCGTGTCAGAGGAGGCAAAGCAGAATGACAGCTATGCTTAGCCGCGTCTCGGGGGAGGAAATTTTCACAGAGTCAGTATGAATGGGTGAGAATAAAACGCGATGTGGGGAGGCGACAGGTGTTGTCACCGAGCCAAACGCGGATGAAATAAAGTCACTAGAGGAAGAAAACACAATTATAGATACATCTCTAACCTCTCTCTACCCCACCTCGCCTCCTTACATAAACACACTCCTTCTTTTCCTTTGTGATTTCAACAGTATGAAGATGTTTAGCCTCACCTTCACTGTCCACTGGTGGCCTCCAGAACCTGTAAATTGGTCTCAGCCAGGCAGGCAACTGATCTTGCCTTCTTAATTTCCCCCCTCTCTGCCGTCTAATGTCCCTCTACTCCTCTTCTTCGGCTTTCACTCCCTGCCTCAAGTATAGTATAATTGCATTTTCCAGGCCTGATTTCCATACTAAATATGCATCCCTCCATCTGCGAGAGAGCCAGCAGCCCAGCTCAACGTCTCTCTGGTTATCACTGTGCAACAGGCCCTCACACCCTCACTGTACAACCACCAGTGTCATAATTACCCACGGTTAGGGTAGTTACCACGTCCTGCTCTGCTAACTTCCAAAAGGGATTAGCACTTTTTTTTTCCTGTTTTTCCTGAGTGATTTCTTGAAAAAGAAAAAAAAAAAAGGCGGTGGCTCCATTTGTGGAGCAATCTGTTCATTACCTCTTCATTATTTGCTCATTTATTTGCAGTCTTTGTCCTCCAGTATGTTTAGCTCATTAGCTTTTATAGATATTGACCCACAATTTCTTTCACTATGCCCCCTGCTGTGTCTACAATATAATGAGCCTACAAGCAGCAGGACCTGGTTAATGAATTACGAATGGTCTACTTCAATAGTGGGTTGTACTTCCTACAGGCCCCCTCTCGAGGTTTCATTACGCTTCACATGAAGCTGCCATATTGTCTAAGGTTACTGTTATGAGAACCCTATACACAGGGTCTGCTGTTGTCGTTTTTTTACTGTCAACAGTAGCAGCTGCTGCTGCAGCTCCACTGCTTTTTCTGGAAACTCATTTTCATGAAGTGTCACATCACATCATAACATGTAGATAATTGCTTAGTCAGCCAGTTGTCCTCAGAGGAGCTGTATTGTTTTAGCTACACTGGAGACTTCAGGCATCCGGCTTCGTTTGAGTATCGGCGATCAAATGATTCTTACACACGCTTGCTGTCTGTAAGGAAATGCAGATATTTACTCCAAAGGATCCGTGCTAGCTGGTCAGACGGTATTTTCAGTGGTAACTCTGGCGGAAAAGAACTCTCTGTGTTGTTATCCTGACAGTCCTCTGCCTCAGCTGTCAAAATAGTGGCATTAGGATAGTTTTCATCCTAAGCCTCTATTAAAGAACTTATCAAGAGTTGGTCCTGCTGGCCTGCGGGCTGCTGCAGAGCTCCTGCTCACTAAGCAAACCTGGAGTCTGTGATAACATGAACTCACACACACACACACACACACACACACACACACACACTTTCTCTTCTTCCATAGAATGGTTCCTCTTAACAAACATTTGCTTTTCAAGGGCAAAATCATTTCAACAGCCAATTTGTTTTGTCTGAGCTGCAATCAGCAGTCACATTTACATTTAGTCTAAATCAAAAACAACTTATACATTATTCAAGTTTCTTATCAGCCGTGAATACTCAGCTACAGTTCTGTCAAAAAGCAAAAAGTGATCACCAGTTGTTTTTACATGTAACATGTTTTTCATATTAATATTTTAGTTGCAACGGAGATATATGAAGAAAAAGAACATCTATTTCTAACGCCAGTTAAATACAATTGGCACTTATTGCAGATTCATAAAGTACCTCCTCATTTCTGCACTAATTAGAATAAGATCTTCCACTGCCACTCATAAAGAAAGTTTTTTTTTACCAAACAGCATAATGCTTTCAGTACTGCTATTTCTCTTTTATGTCTGCATCACACAGATGGGACTGGAGAAGCTGTCAAAGTATGAACAAAAGGAATTTGAGCTGTTTTTAAGATGCTGATTAATCGTTGTGTGATAAACTGTTCTCAGTCATTTTTATCTTCATTTTATTCTAAGTGATTCCACTGAAACAACACATGCAAAAAAAAAATGCAAATGATGGACAATTGAAACCTAAAAATCGCTCATAAATGAAAGGTAAAAATAAAGGTAGAAAAAATCTACCCACTGAATACAGCAGAAAAAATGTAAGAGAGAATCTTCACTGCTGCGCTGAAGCCTCTGAGCCATGTCAGGACAGGAAAAGTCTTAAAAGAAGATAAGAGTGTCATCACCCTTTCCCCTGACTAGCTGATGATAGAAGGAGGACTTACATAAACCGTCATGCTATCCTTTGTGAAATCAGTGCTTTATGAATGTTGGCTCGTCCCCATCTAGGATGATTAGTCACACTGATGAGCTTCCCTCAGATTATATGAAAAGAAGCGATCCTCCTTTACTGATGATTTGAGCCACTTAGCGTGAAGAAAGTTATGGCTTTAATTGCTAAGATGAGGAATTCAGCAGCAGGCGATGATGGGATCCTGGTAAGGTGTGTCCTCCAGCTGCTGACAGTAATGCTCACGCACTGACTCAAGACAAGTTAATTGCAAAAAAAGACATTAAGTCATCAAGTGGCGAGAAATAAACAAAGCAAATGAATGCAAACCTGTCTGCTGATTCCTTAAAGTCACAATAAACTAGTCTATCAGCTGAAAAAATTGTTTATCTGTACAGACGTTAGATTGGTATTGATCTTCCCTTCTAACTCTCGGCAAGCAGATGTTTTTTTTTAAGCTCCCGTCAGTCTAATTTGGAAAATGCTCATCATTTGTCCAAGTTTCTTTAAAATTCAAGCAGTTCTCCTCAGGATTTGGCAGTGGACGCTGAAGAATGATGCACGTTTGTTTTGTCATCCCTTTTCCTCAGATGAGCAGCAAACGCTCCAGCAGTTTCCGACGAGCCATCGCCAATGGCCGCCGCACGCTGCAGAGGGAGATCCTGCTGGACGAGACGGGGCTGGGTCTGTACAAACGTTTTGTGCGCTATGTGGCCTACGAGATCCTGCCCTGCGAGACGGACCGACGCTGGTACTTCCACCAGAACCGCCTGTGTCCCCCGCCTGTCTTTATCGCCATTGTCACCATTGTCCAGGTTAGGGAATGACATTATCAGCTTGTCTTAGGGTTCAGTGGATCATAACATAAATCTTGTGCCAGTCATACGCTGAATATAGTAATTCTACTGATTTATCCCCACTGATTGAGGTGTTCTTAAAACATTTTTATCCTGCAGTATTTTACCTGAGACACATGCAGTACGTGCTACTAACCCACAACACTGAGTTCCAACTGTTCTGGTGGCTCAGTCGTTCGCCTCAGACCCACTGAAAAGATTTTCTGCCTTTGATCACATGCTTTTAGTGTGAGCTCGATATGAGCTGGTAACCCATTTGGGAGTCAGGAGCTTAGTGGGTGCATTTAATGCTGCTCCTCCAAGCTGAAACCCTCAGTCAGGCTGCATGCAGGGATTTTTGTTTTATATTTTTTTTCTCAGATGCTAATTTTGGAACTTGAAAACCAGGTCAATAAGCACCCTGGCCAAGGCAGTGGCATTAATTGACCTATTATGTTCATTTGAAAAAAAAGAAAAAAGAAAGAAGACCACTAACACAGAAGCCCTCCAGGAGCACAGTTGAATGGTTTGGGATTAAGCGGCGCAAATAACCCACAGTTTTTCAACAAAACTTCATCATTTCCCCTGAAATCATCATAATTCTCAGGAAAGAAAGCCAAATGCTCTTATAATGCCTCCAAATGGCAGTGAATGGTCTGTAATGACAATGAGGATGTGATAATAACGGTTCACATTCATTTTAATTCACAGAGACAATGAGTCATTATTCTATGAAAAGAAATTAATGGAATTGAACCAGATGTGCCATTTTTTTTCTGTGGGCAGTAATTGTCTCCACAAGTCTAATAAGCATCAGCCGAGGAATACAAAAAAGAAAAGAAAATGTCATGCGTCTTTCAGAAAGCACAGTGGGTTTTGTTTTGCAGGGGCAATTTCCACCTTTTGTACCAGCAGTGTGCAGAGAGAGCGTGTAATGGGTATGTCAGCAAGAACTGACAGTCTATTGTCATTTTTGTGTCTCTGTTGCAGATTATCGTGTTCATGTGCTATGGCATTATGCTAAACAAGTGGGTACTGCAGACATATCAGCCTGACTTCATGAAGAGCCCCCTGGTCTACCATCCCGGCCACCGCGCACAAGTGTGGCGCTTCTTCAGCTACATGTTCATGCACGTCGGGTACGTTCACGAAGCTCCGCTTACCACATGTGTATTTCTGCAAGACTGATTTAGTTCAGATCTGGTTGGTGGTTGCAGATATCACAGAATCGCAAAAAATCTCATGCCATCATTTGGATCTTGTTTTTCTCTCTCCTCAGTCTGGAGCAGCTGGGGTTCAATGCTTTACTGCAGCTGATGATCGGCGTGCCTTTAGAGATGGTCCACGGCATCTTACGAATAAGTTTGCTGTACATGGCAGGAGTGCTGGCCGGTGAGTGTAAACCAAAAAAATGTAGTGTATCATTATGTAAACCAGTGCTTCCCAAAGTGGGTGCCATGGCACCGTGAAGTGCTGCACAGCAAGACACATGAACATGGTTGTATTACATTTGAAATAGTAATAAGGATAGTCATAGAAATAATGAACCTCTAAAAAAACATGACATCTCTATTTTTGAACAAAACAAAAGAAATACATACATACATATATATATTTACACAACTAGCATACTTTTACTTTACTTTTACTTAGATTTTGTTCATTCTTTATTTCAGTATTTATCTGTAGATCTGCAAAGCAACATTGTTTAAATATGCTGACTTCCCATTATTTGAAGTAATTGTAATTGTGATTGTTTAATTCAGTCTCATTTATTAGTTAATATGAATTCTTATAGCAGATATTCATAGTGTCGGTCGCCGTGCGGTGAGGGTGCAATAAATCGCTAAACACTGTGAAGGGGAACCACGAAGCAGTGGTGTAGCATGTGTGTAGTTTAGATATTGTTCAGAAAGTTTTAGATAATCTTCACTGCAATATGAACTCTGCTTTTCTTTTTTAAAACAATGACGTAAACAGAAAAGGCTGTTTATTCTGTGTTCAGCTCCAGTCTGCGGTATGTCTGTACTGACCTAGTTTGTTTATTCTTTTATTACTGTTTGCATTGTCTATTACTGCTTTGATTTTTGTATTGTTGGTACCTTCATCATTTATCAAGTTAAAGGTGTTGTACACAAAAACCAGCTACTCCTCAAGCCGACATGCACGAGTGGTCTGTTTGATAGAACTGATAAATGCGACTCGGCCGGTGGTCCAACCCTTTAATAAAAAAAATAAAAAAAACAGGCCTCCAAACAGAATATAGCAGCGTGACTTGCGTTGTCCGGAGGTCGTTCTGCAGCACTCAAGTCTTTGTTGACAAGAAACCTCATTAACTTTCATCCTCCTCCAAGCCAGTTTGGAGATTGGAAGTTTTAAATCCGTGCTGATTGCCGGATGTGGTTTCTCACTGCAGTTTTTGCTGTTAATGCGTATTTGCAGAAGTCATATCAACACTACTGCATAAACCTCTTTCCCCTTTCATCTTCACTGGGAACAATTTCTGTCTTGGATCTTGTAAATCTCTTGCTAACCATCATTTGAACACTGTCGAAAGCAATAGCCTAATTCATATTGAGTTACATGCATATTCATTCATTTTTAGTAACCTGATTCATCTTTTCTATGTGATGAAAAATCTAAACTCTTTTGTCTTTTCCTTTCCTCTCTCTGTACATACTGTCATAAAATGGAGTTAAAACTGCTCCAAACTCCTCGTGCGCTGTAAAAAAAAAAAAAAAAAAAAAACTCACATGCACACACACTGTTAACACTCATGAATTATTGTAGCTTTGATTTATTTTAGCATTGATGACAGGGAAAGAGCCAGCAAGCGAGCACGGGTCTGAGAGGAGGAAAAGTGGGAGAGTAATGCAAGGGCGTCTCTCTGGGGAATTAGCCTAAGTGCAGTTTGAGATGTTGTTTGGAGATTTAAGCTGCAGCCTGGATTGAAAAGGAGGAGAAAGCAGCGAGGAGATCGTACATGCTGACATTTGTTCCCCCAGAGCCTGGAGTCAAACTGTGTTCACCAGACTCTCTATGCTCCAGTTTCATCGCTGTGATCAAAAATTGAATTTCTGTCGTACAAGTTGAATCTGAAGTCGTGTGTAACTGTCTGGAATTAAATTTGAACTTTGCTGCATTTAACTTTAAATATGATCAGTATAAACTCGATCATCATCGCATTTCTTTGAGTCAACGCTTAGTGGAGCTCCCTCAGGCTGACAAATGAGGAAGAGAAGAAGAAATCTGCTGAATTCCTCCTGAACAGTGAGGGTGAGCTGAGCTGTCCGATGGTAACAATATGATGAATGGCTTTTAGCAGCACAATAATTTCACCTCCTGATTCTTGTTGATGGAGTTGAAATTGGAGCTGTGCTGGCACAAAATGTTGTGATCTGCTGGAGAGTGGTCCATTAGAAAGCAGGCTGGAAAGTGCACTGGGACTGTTTGTGTGTGTGTGTGTGTGTGTGTGTGTGTGTGTGTGTGTGTGTGTGTGTGTGTGTGTGTGTGTAATTCTCTGTGTGTTTGGAGATTTGGAGGAGGCTGTTGGGGGGTGTCTCAGGTTTAATGACAAGGGGTGAGCGCGCTCAGTCAGAAGTAGAGAGACAGCACTGCTCCCTCCAGGTGAGGGGTCAGAATAAGAAAACCACCTGGGCTTTGGGCACAGCAGGAGGTTTACAAAAGACACTCAGAGTCAGTCAGTTGGTGTTGTGAGGCACACTGGTGGTGCATGTAAGCATGAGCTACATTTGCTAAATTTAACATAAAACTAAAATGCTGAACATGAGCAATGTTAATCCCTGCTGAAAACTAAAATCTGCATGTTGGCTGAGTCGCACCACTGTGCCCAGGTACATCTTCTCAGAGCCGCCAGCATGGCTGTAGAGTCGTAGTCTTGTTGTTTTATCTGATATCTGTGGTTGTTGTGTGTAAATATACTGTAGTTGTGGTTGTGTAATAGATCTTAATGGATTTATGGTTTTGTTTTTTGATTCATTAATCAAACTAAACAAATTAATACAAGCTCCATCGGTTTGTTCATGTCCCTCTCCTCTCAGCCACCCATTCTCCCTTTCACTGATACACTGAATGTGTGGAGTGTGAACACAGACTTTGGTTCTTCATGGTGTTTCCCTGCCTCACGCTTTGCATTTTGCCAGTTTTCCCTCAGTCTTTGTAAACTCTCGATTGCTTGTGGATGTTGGAAATTGCCCAGTGCTTTAGATTACTCAGTGAAATTCTTGACTTTTCCTCCTTCCCCGTTTGGTTGCCCAAGGCTGTCTCATGTTTATATTCATGCAGCCTTATACTAGCTCATGAGTTCAATCATGTCGGCTGTTGTTATCAGCTATTGCACGCATGTTGCTTGTTATTTTTGTAGGGCAGCGGAGCTTTCAGGTTATAGCTGCACTCAGTGTGTGCATTCATGGAGCAACGTGCTGCAGGTATTGTGCCTTTATGTGTGTTTCACTGCGAGAATTCTGGCACCGCAGGGCATGCTTTCAATGCCAAAAGAAAGTTTTTCTTTTTAAAGATGCCTCAAAAACTGTGAAAGTACAAAACTGTTCTCACATATCTCACATGTCATTATCTTGAAAATAATACATTTCGCAATTTAAAAGAAAATATAACTTAGTTTCACAAAGCACAAGGTTTTAGTCTGGGTAGGTCAGATGGTGTTAGATACAAATCTATAAATCTTGGACACAGCCTGATCTTCGCTCCATCGCTCTGCTCTGCTCCCATAATGTAGTGCTCCCCCTGAAAATAAAGAATGACATTGCACATTTTGTCCTTGGATGTGTGCTGACAAAAGGAACAATTGAGCAATTATTTTTTTAACAGCGCTGTTCAGACAGACCCTGGACATTGTCCTTACTCATTTTGCATCCACTCAGTAATCCTTCATGGCTCTGTCGCACTAACAGTGGCTGAAGAGCTCCGCTGGAGTTTGATGTTTCATGATAGGAACAGTACCGTGTTCGTGCTCAACACTACAGCCCAGCTCCACGTTAAAGATGGCGCAGCAGGGATTCCTTCTTTTAATCTCCTTTTTTTCCCCTCCCCTCCTCTTCTGGTTCTCCATCCCTCAGGCCAACAACTCCTTCAGCGTCTTCATGTGCTTCAGGACATCAACAGGTGCCAGAACACCATGTTTTTCCTCATAGCCCCGTGTGAGCCTCAGGGTGTCTGTCTCTTCCAACACCTTATATATTTGAGACAACCCAAATCTTCCAGCAGCCTCTCATAACGGCAAGCTTAAGTCTGCTGTCCCACTACTGTCCTGCTTAACTCAGATATTTGTGTGTTGACATATTCTACTCTGATTTTCTTTCCACTCTTTGCTGCCTGTCAGAGTTGATTCTGCCGTCCGTAATGTGGCAAAACAAAGTCCTGGTGTAAAACTTTCACTTTGAATCATCAGATTTTTGCTAAAATATCAACAATATCTTGTGAACAAGTGAAAAACTACTGTTTCCATAGTGTGAAAATGAGTTCATGACCTCACATTTTGTTTATAAAGAAAAAACTGTAACCAAGCACGAAAGAAACATTTGTTTAAAACCCTTATTTTTGATGTGACCTGCAGTTTGGTTGTTGTGTGTCACCGCGCTCTTTCTGTTTGCCATTGGAGAAAAAATAATCTTTTGAAAAAATATATATATCTTAATTAGATTTGTTTAAGTTTATTTATTTATTCATTCATTGTTTATTTGAACGAGGACAGAGACAAACAATTGTATGAAAAAGTTTGAGCACCCCTGGGCAAATTACATATTTTGTTGATTTTCGAAGTGAAAGGAAGTAAATCCAGACCCTGCAGGAAACAGACGTTAAAAATGTTAACGCGCTGTTCATTTTTATCTCATTAACTTAGAAAATAGAAAATAAATAAACGGTAGTTGTGGCTTGTGCAAAATTGTGGGTGTTCTTTTACTTTTTAAGCACCAAGAACTTAATTAACTCGTTAGGCCTTAACTGACTCATTAGGATTTGTAAGGCAGGTGAAGAATTGTCAGTAGAACCATCAGAGGCTCCTTTAAACAAGTGACTCTGGAAATAGAGGATCTGAAAATTAAGCTAACTGCTGCCTACGAAACAGGGAAGGCTATAAAAAAAGATATAAAAGCGTAATACATAGAAAATAAGTATTATAATTGTATATAAGTACCATTAAAAGAACTGACTTCTTCACACCTAGCTACTGTAAGTTATGACAGTTTCAACTTCTATTGAAAATGTTTCCAGTTATAATTCATTTTGCAGTCCTCTGTCCAAATCAGGTTTCACAGACGAGCATTTACATCTCCCTCGTTACCGCCACTTCGGTTCCCTGAGCTCAGTGAGCAACAGATAAAACTGTGGTTGTTCTGAGCAGCTTCCAGGTG